ACAATGTGACAGAGTATGTGCTTCACAAATATTTATTGTTATTTTTTAATAAATGCGTATTAAGGTTTAATTTTTGTAAGTTCCAAGACAATTATATGAAGACATGGCCTCACATACCATAAAATTGGAAGGAATAATCCCAATTCTATGTTAGTATGTTTGAGATTTAAAATTAAATAAATCACATTTAAATGAAAACACACATAAATGACTTTTTTGCACAAAGCATACCGAATACCATTTATTGCACACCTGTGTAAGGTCTTCTTACACACACGTGCTCTCTTCATCTTCACATTAACTGTATGTGTTGGGTCTTATTAGTTCCACTTTATAGATGGCGAAACTGAGACTCAGAGGAATAGCCCTAAGTCAGTCTTGAGACTCAAGCCTCCTCTTTTAGACCCAAGTCTACCTTTTTTATATTCTGGCTGCCTTTTTGTTTGCAAATGTGACACAACTGACTTCTATAACTGACTTACAAAACACACTGTGTTTCAGTCACTTTGTCTTACAAGATGCTCTTTTTGTTGTTTGTCTTAACTTAAGTTAGAAACCCACTAGCCTGCATCTCTTACTAGTGGGAGATCCTGCAGTTCTTAGGTGACCTTAGTAGGGACTTGGCGTCTGCAGCAAGTGAGGGCGTCAGCGTGGAAGTGCAGCTCTTCTCCCCTGTAAGCTCCCAGCCCCTCTCCCCTTCTCTCTTCCCTGCGCCATCCCGAGTCCACAGAGCCAAAACCTGACACGGTGCTGCTGGCCCTCTGTCCTCTCTACCAGCCGGGCCCCCTCTTCCAGGGAAACCCATGTGGAAGCCACGCAAGAAAATGCAAATGTCTGTGCAGCAAGCTGAGCAGAATCTAACTTTCTGTTGACCCTGTGTGCAGAGCTGAGTGGGCTCCTGCTTTCTTTCTCCCTCAGCCCTCATGCAAGACCCTCATTAATGTATGAATAGAGAGTTCCTATAAAGGAAGACTTACAGTGCGGGCCCTGGCAGCAGCAAGATAGGGTCTTGCTGGGAAAATTGTTTAGCCACTCTGAGCCTCAGCTTCCTTATCTGTAAAGTGGATCTGGTGCCTGCCTAACAGGGTTGTGCTGAGATTTCAGTGTAACAGTCCTTTGAAGTGTTTAGCATGGTGTCATGGTAAGTGTTCAGTAAATGCCGACTCTTACGAATCCCATATCCAAGGAGCTCACAGAGCAATGGGGCGAGCCTACTTTCAAGGCAAATTACGGTACAAATATGGTCCCGGCTGCAGGTGGTACATGGACAGGAGTAGAGAAGGAACAGAGGAGGGGGGACTCCCCGCCTGGAGAAAGGGGCAGTTTGCAGAAATCGTGGGAGGAGAATTGCAGGCGAGAGTGCAGCATGGGGCATGGCCCAGACTGTGGGAGGATGTGGCACCGTGTGCTGGAGGAGGAAAGACAATTCAGTGTGAGCGGAGGGCAGAGTGTTGGGAGCGCGTGCTGGGAGAGCAGGCTGGAGAGCCGTGCCGGGGAGCCTGTAAGGAGTCCAGAGTGTGCTCCGCTCGGGTACCGCTGGGCTTAGCCTGCGGTGATGCGACTTCGCCCAGGGATGGGCTCTGAACAGCCGTGGGGCCTGTCTCAGCTTCCTCAGCTGTAAGTGCAGAGAAGTAACACCTTCCCACAGGATTCAGGTTAACCCACGGAAGGCTCCTAGAAAAAGAGCGCCTACAAGGTAGTTTAGCAAGTGACACCTTCGGTAGAGCAATAGAGGTACTCCTTCCGAGGTCAGAAGTCCTGAATTCACGTCTAAGCCAGTGAATTTCTTTTTATCTTCCAGGAAAGTGGTGTTTCAACTGCTGAAATGTGAATGTCCTGTTGTTTGTTTTAACGCCAAGGACTTTGTGCGAACAGTGCTGCAGTTTCTTGGTAAAGATGGCAGCTGGAAGCATGGTAAGTTTGAGTTTTTATAATCTCTTAAACTGAGCTCTCCAGCAGTGGCTCCTCCTGGGAATGGGGGGTGGGGAGGCAGGCTCCAAAGCACCAGCTGTGTGGCCTCGTGCCCCAAGGGTGAGGGGCACTTTCCCTCTGTTCCTTAGACCGTTGGATTTTTTGCAAGGATAATTACTTTTTGTAATTTAAAATAAGAAAGAAGCGACTTACGCAGTGTGGTCAGATGGGATGTGTTGTTACCACAAATAGCTTATAAGCTCCCTACGGATTAAAGTCCAGACACATGAAAAGATGCTCAACATACCTCATCATCAGGGAGATGCAAATCGAAACCACAATGAGATACCACCTCACACCTGTCAGAACGGCTAAAATCAACAACGCAAGAAACAACAGACGTTGGTGAGGATGTGCAGAAAAAGGAGGCTTCGTGCACTGTAGGTGGGAACACAAACTGGTGCAACCACTCTGGAAAACAGTGTGGAGATTCCTCAGAAAGTTAAAAATAGAGCTACCCTGTGACCCAGCAATTGCACTACTGGGTATTTATGCAAAGAATACAAAATACGAATTCAAAGGAATACATGCACCCTTAAGCTTATGGTATCATTGTTTACAACAGCCAAGATAGGGAAGCAGCCCAAGTGTCCATCAAGAAGATGTGGCATACAAGCGGGGCATGCAAGCCCTGGGCCTGCTGCCCTCACCTGCCCATGGCAGAGCTGGTTAGAGTGTGGCCTCCTTAACGCTGGATGCCTGCCACCAGCGTATTCGGAGCTGGGTGAGGCCAGAGAGGTGGGGCCTGGCCCTTAGCTCTCCCTGCAGGTTGGGCTGGGCAAGGGGAGAGGCCCAGGCTGTGGGGGGCCTGCCTTTCAGTAACCTCTGGAAGACTGCTGAGCAGCTGCTTCCGCTGTTCTGTTGGTGGCCCCAGAAGACTGACTCCACACTTGGTTTCTAACTAAATGGGACTGGAAGCAGAAAAAGAACGGCAGAGTTGGTAAGGCGACAGCAGACCCCAAATGGGCGGCCTCAGGGGAAGCCCTGTGTGAGCCCTCCGCCACTGTGGGCTCTGGAGCCTGGCTTAAATTCATCCTTGTTGCCTAACTTCTCAGTATTATACTGTGAACTTCATTTAAAAAAAAAAAAAAAAAAAAGAAGATGTGGCATATACATACATACATACAGTGGAGTAGTACTCGGCCATGAAAAAGAATGAAATCTTAACATTTGCAATGACATGGATGGAGCTAGAGAATATTATGCTAAGTGAAATAAGTCAGTCAGAGAAAGACAAATACCATATGATTCACTCATACATGGAATTAAAGAAACAAAACAAATGAGCAAAGGGGAAAAGGAGACAAACAAGAAACGGACTCTTAACTGTAGAAAACACATGATGGTCACGAGAGGGGAGGTGGGGGGATGGGGGAAACAGGTGATGGGGATCAAGGAGGGCCCCTGTCTCAATGAAAACTGGGTGTTGTTTGGAAGTGCTGAGTCACTATATTGTACACCTGAAACTAATATGACACTATGTTAACTATACTGGAATTAAAATTAAATAATAATTCACATCAAAACAATATAGAACATGTTTTTATCTTTCATTTAACATAATAAGAATTTTTAATAACTTTTCTTAGATGGACAGATATGTAGCAAAGCAAATATAGCAGAAATGCTCCTTATAGAATCTAAGTAGTGGATATTATGAGGGTTCACTGGATAGTTCTCTTTAAATTGTCTGCATGTTTGAAAATAGAATAAGAGGTTGGAAAAAAAATCTTTTTTTTTAAGATTTGTATTTATTTATTTGAGAGATAGAGCAAGAGAGATCACAGAGGGAGAAAGAGAAGCAGACTCAAGGCTGAGCACGGAGCCCGATGCGGGGCTCGATCCCAGGACCTCCAGATCATGACCTGAGCCGAAGGCAGATGCTTAACTGACTGAGCCACCCAGGTGCCCCAATAAAAAAAAAACTCTTTGAATGTACAAAATTTCCAACATGTACAAAATTACCTGTGATACAATAAGAAATATATATTTAGTCTTTGTCCTTGCTTCCTGGCACATAGTTCCTAAGACCCTTGCAATCCCCAGAGTGCTAAGAATGTCTTTTGTGGGCTAATGAGACTGGGACTGGGAGTGGGGGGCCCCTAGCGGGCCTCAGGATAGGGCAGTGGACAGAATGACCACACCGGGCTTAGTGGGTTGGACTTTAAGTCCCCCACCCCCACACCCCTTCCAGGGACAGAGAGGGGATGGAGAGGCGGTCAATCTCAGTGGCCAGCGAGCTCATCAGTCGCACCTGGGTAGTGGAACCTCCATGAATTCCCTGCTCAGGGGCTGGGGGGGATCTGGAGGGCTCCCAGGCTGGGGAGCACGTCTGGGTGCTGGGCGGGGTGGGGAGCTCTGCGCCCCTTGCCCCATACCTCGCTTGCCCTGCGCATCTCTTCCGTCCGGATGGTCCCGGGTTGTGTCCTTCATGATAAATGGGTCACGAGTTAGTATAAGGTGCTTCCCGCAGTTCTGCGAGCCGTTCTAGCCAGTTATGGAACCCGAGGAGGGGGTCGTGGGAACCCCGATTTGTAGATGGTGGGTGGGAGGTATGGGAGGCGTCTGAAGCAGGGGTGGTCTTGTGAGGCTGCAGGGTCTGCACTCGGGGCAGCTGGTGTCAGAATGGCGCCAGCTGTCAGACACCTGCCGGCTTCTGCAGAGCCGCAGACCCGTGGGCGGGAGACCGCACGCTGGGCGCCAGAGATGGTGTTGGAAAACAACATGGTACCCATCACTCAGCTTCAACAGTTACTAACTTATGCCCGGTCTTCTTTTCTCTGTAACTCCTCACACTTGCAATCACCTGCCTGCCTCCTGGCTTGATTTGTAGCAGATTCCAAGCATCATATGATTCATCTGTAAATGTTTCAATTATGTGGTGAAGTATGAGGGTTTCATTTTTAAGATGATGCCATCATCATCTCCCCACAAATTAGTAGTAATCTTTCAGTGTTATTAGATATCCAGTTAGTGGGTGCGCTGCCCCTGTTGTCTTTAAATATCTTGTTTGTTTTTATTTTTTTACAGTTTGTGTGACTTGGGATCCAAACAAGAGCTGGAGTTAGGTTATCCCGAAGCTAGGATAGGTATGATATGTTTCTTGTTTCTTTTTTTTTTTCATCTATATATTCTCTCTCTCTGTTTTACTTTCCTGTAATTATTTTGTCCTTGTGGAGGGAACCAGCTTGTTTGTCGTGTAGGATTTCCCAGCGTCTGGATTTTTCAGAACGTATCACCTTCTTGCTGTTTAACACTTTCTTCTTGCTCTTCTATTTCTTGTAAATTGGCAGTTGGATCCAGAGGCTTGATCAGATTTCAGGCCTGATTTGGGGAGGGCAAGACTAAGTCATGACCCTGGCCCTAGGTAGTGGCGTGTCTTTCTGTCAGGAGGTACATGATATCTGTTGTTTACCTTTTTTGTGATATTTGAACTCATTTCATATGTTGAATCTACTTCTCTGCTCTTTCATATTTGTCACTTTATCTAGAATCTATTTCCAATCTCACTTTCTTTAAATTCCTCTTTTCCATCGTCTTTTCTTATGTAGGGCATTATCCATTGCATTGATTGGCTTTTGTGTATTGCCAGTTCAGTTTTTATTTATGAAATTTTTTTTGTTTTATTTTCTGAACCCTTTCATTTCTTTGTTCAGTTTTTTTTTTTTTTTAAGATTTTATTTATTTGAGAGAGAGAATGAGAGAGAGAGAGAGCACATGAGAGGGGGGAGGGCCAGAGGGAGAAGCAGGCTCCCCGCTGAGCAGGGAGCCCGATGCGGAACTCGATCCTGGGACTCCAGGATCATGACCTGAGCCGAAGGCAGTCGCTTAACCAACTGAGCCACCCAGGCGCCCTAAAAGCTCACTTTCATGCCTGCAACACTGCTCATCCTCACTTCGAATCTCCTCTAATAGTTTAAAATAAATTTCTCTTACATCATTTTCTATGCATTTGTGAACACCTTTACTAACACTGGTGTTATCCAACTCTAAGTTCTGCCAATGTGTTAGGTTTAAAAAAAGTACTTGAATGAGATTTTTTTTTTCTCTAAGATTTTATTTATTTATTTGAGACAGAGAGAATGAGAGACAGAGAGCATGAGAGGGAGGAAGGAGTGTCAGAGGGAGAAGCAGACTCCCCGCCGAGCAGGGAGCCCGATGCGGGACTCGATCCCGGGACTCCAGGATCATGACCTGAGCCGAAGGCAGTTGCTTAACCAACTGAGCCACCCAGGCGCCCCTAGTTTTTATTTTTTTATTTTTCTAAGTCACCTAATTTCCAACTATTTCTAATTCTGATTTATTTATTTTTCATCACCTTTATCATTTTCTCAGATTTTCTTAGCTCATTTTCAATCTGTTTCGTTGGTATTTCTCTTTCAACTACTGGCATTTTCTCCCCAGTGTGGGGCCTTGGCCTGGTGGGCTTTAGAATGTGAGGTGGAGGAGATTACAGGAACCAGCCCCCAGGCCCTTCCCCAAGAGTTTTCAAGAATGTTAACAGAGCCTTAATTTTGGACCGTTAGAGCTCTGAAAAGGCAAGTAGAGTGAACCAGTCCTCCTGGGTCAGTTAGCATTGCCGGATGGTGTTGGGTCGGGTCACGCACAGCCAACATGGGTACAGGTCCGGGAGCACCTGCCGATGTTGTCCCAGCCAAGCTTCCAAATCTGCCAGTGTCTTCCCAGACATCAAACAAAAAAGTCATGAGACTGGTTGCATTGGCAAATATAAATCTCTTAGGCTGGCATAATTCAAAGGTGCCAGGAAATATAATATTTAGTGTGTTGTGATCTAAGACTACAGTTTTGTTTAAAAGCAAACTCCTTATTTTTATGTAGCATTATTCAAAATGTTAAAGTAACTTGGGGCGCCTGGGTGGCTCAGTTGGTTGAGCATCCAAGTCTTGATTTCAGCTCAGGTCATGATCTCAGGGTCCTGAGATAGAGCCCCGCACTGGGCTCCATGCTCAGCGCAGAGTCTGCTTGGGATTCTCTCTCTCCCCCTGCCCCCCGGCTTGTGCTTTCTCTAAAATAAATAAATAAATCTTAAAAAAAAAGTTAGGGCGCCTGGGTGGCTCAGTTGGTTAAGCGACTGCCTTCAGCTCAGGTCATGATCCCACGGTCCTGGGATCGAGTCCCGCATCGGGCTCCCTGCTCTGCGGGGAGCCTGCTTCTCCCTCTCCCACTCCCCCTGCTTCTGTTCCCTCTCTCGCTGTGTCTCTCTCTGTCAAATAAATAAATAAAATCTTAAAAAAAAAAAAAAAAGTTAAAGCAACTTGAAAACGCAATCACTTAGAATTCAGATTTCTCTCTCAGTTTATCAGCCCCCCCCCCATTATAGCTCCCCTGTCCGTGTCTAAAATACTCTGGTACTAAAACTTATTTAGCAAATGTCATTTTTATTTTTCACAAAGCATCTTCCCATATGTCTAGCAGAGATGTACAGTAACCTCTTCCCTGGGTTTTGGATGAGAAAACTAGTACTTAGGGGCAGTGACTGCCCAAGTTCCAGGGGTGAACTTGTGCTTGGTTCTTTTTACATATCCCAATGCAGCAGAGTTCTGGGGGTCTCTCAGGTTTTCCTCCATCAGGGGAAATACCCCAAATGCCAGGCGTCTCTGTCCTCAAACACACTGCCCGCCCCGCCGCCCCCCCCTGCCAAACTTGGCAATGAGGATGCTTATGCTCTTTCTTCTACCCACAAGACTTGGGTTCCTGGACACCCTGAAGAGGGGTCAGGAGTGCCTACGAAGGTAGCCCAGTAAGACGCACAGGGTCGGAAAGCTGGGGAGCAGGGGTGGGGAGCAGGTGGGGGAGAGGAGGCCAGAAGAGGGCCTGAGGGTTCTCACCGCCACCTCTCTGAACATTTTTGAGCGGTCCAGTTCCACGTTAGTTCATTCCCCCTCTTTGGCTGTCTGGGGTCAGTTCCCCATGGAGATTGCCTGTGTGGGACCTGGGTCATGGAGGCCGCTCGTACCAAAGGCTCAAGTTCCTCCGGAACTGCGGAACCTCCCTTAGGCACTCACCTCTGTAACTTGAGGGCACGGCAATGCTATTATTATTATTTTGATCCTCAAGAAAAGGATGGTTCTTCAGTTTTCATGGAGTGACTAAATGGCCTTTTTCTCTGTAGTTGTTCATTTTGTAGGGCTCAACCCCAGAATTGCTGCATGGCTTATAGATCCTGGGGATGCTGCACCCTCTTTTGAAGATTTAGTGGCAAAATACCTTGAAAGCTCCATCTCTGTTAAAATGAACAGCACATATGGGAATTCCTCAAGAAATGTTGTGGTGAGTTATGTTAAGATGAGGCTTTACCAACCTAATCAACCGAATTTTTTCCTAGAAATTTTTTCTGTTTCATAAACAGTCCAGTAGTAAAAAGAACATAGCTGACATTCATTTTTACTTATTCTACACAAATGCTTTTTACCCTGACATTTCTGGTGGAGGATATTGAGTTAGGACAGGTGACTTCTGTTCCTTCATGAAACTGTTCCTGGGAAGTCCGTTCACAGTGTGATCCTTCTTTTTTTTTTTTTCCCAATAAAAATCAGAAGGATTTTTTATTTCTAAGTCCTTTGAAAAAGCAAAACTAATGCAACACAAATTGAAAGATCTAATTAATAAATTTAACAAGCCAAGGTAATTTTGTTACGTAAATTAACCCATTTATTATAGGCTAGCTATGTTTCAACTGGGGGAGCTTCTACTGGTCTTTCAACTCCTTCAGTCGTCTGATGGCAGACTTTACTGACAGCAGAAGTAGTGTTGCAGGTCCAGGTGCCACCAGCGACGGGTTTCATGCAGGAGCCACAAGGCCAGATCCCCACAGCTCGTCGCTGCATCTTGGTTTTGCCACAGAAGGAGCAAGTGTACTTGGCATGCTGGCTCATTTCAATCTTCTTCACCATTTTCCTGAGGGAGGCACCATAATGGGTCCTGGATTTCTCCACAATTCCGACCTTCTTGGTGCGTTTAGCCATGTCGCCGCAAACTAGGTCTGAGCCCAGAGAGACAGTGTGATTCTTCTAAATGGACCCTCTGGCGTCAGAGCCACGTGCTCTGGGCCCCACGAGCTGCTCGTGGTGCCGGTGACCCGGCAGCTGCGGCAGAGGCTCAGGTACCACCTCGCTCCATGTGCCCAGGTGTGTCTTCCCAAGCCCTGTCCGAGATGCACCCAGTTGTTAGGAACCACATCCGCAGAAGCCATAGTGCTCATGGGTCTGGAGCCCGGCCCGGAGCCCAGTGAGCCAGGCCCCCGAGGAGGTGGCCCGGGAGAGCAGTGTGGCCACAGTTGGGCCACTCTGTTGAGGCTTCCTGCATGCAAATCAACAGCAACACGCTAGAAGCACAACGGGACGAGCATGCAGAGGGCTCGGGGAGCACGAGGATTGGCCGTGGGGTGGGAACCATGGGGGCAGAGCGGCTGGTGATGTGAGGGCCCTGAGGCTCGGGGAGGTCTGCTTGCTCCTGCTCTTCATCCTGCGCCATCTGTGAGGGAGGGTCTGAGTCAGATGGGGACTTGGGGGTACAAATGTGGAAACTCACTCTCCCTTAATTTAAAGAGATGTGTCAGAGGAATACGGGGGAGCTCACAGACTCAGAGGGAAAGCAGTAGCAGGTCATGGGAAGACGTGAGCCTCAGGCCCTGGGGCCAGCAGTGAGCCATGGGTCACTTTTGTCGAAGACCCACAGTTAGTTCCCTCACTGTGCCACGTGTGTGCCCCTTGGTGGGGGGACAGTGCGTGGAGGTGAGTTCTACTGATCGTAGGATGCTGGGAGGGGAACTTCCTCAAATAGCAGCCGAGACACTCACTAAAACAGGGACTTACCCACCTCAGCACTACCAGTCCCAGTTTATAGATGACTAGACCAAGATGCAGAAGGGTCAGTGTGCATGCATCTTGCCCAAGGTCAAGTTGAGGCTGTGGATCAAAGCGTGGGTTTCTGACTATAAGGTCTAGTTTCTTTCTAGTGCATCTAGGGCTGGGAGTGGCTGCAGGGAATAAAGCACCAGCCTCAGAGGTGTGTTTTCTCCCTGTCTAGAAGCCGCGGCCCTGCACCCAGTTGCTCTCAGTGCTGTGGACCCTGCCAGTCCCACCACTGCCCACATGTGAGCTGTCGCCTCACCCCGGGCCCTCAGCACACTCCAGGAAGAAAAGCAGCAGCCTCCATGAACTTGCGCTCAAATCCTGGTGGCTAGAAATGTGTCCATTGTGGAGGCATGCAGTGCGTGAGGGGCGGGAGGGGAAAGCCAGGCCCACGTTGTGCCATGTTGAAGAGGTGCTGGGGATGGTCTGAGAGAACGCAGGGGGCGTCTGGGCAGAGGGAGCAGCATGGGAACAGGAGGGAATGGTGAGATTGGGAAGAAAGGTGTAGGGTAGAGGAGGAGCGGTATCACAGGCTCTGTCACGAGGGTGCTGGTCCCACCCGGAGCTCAGTCTTGTCCTAGGGAAGCCCCGCCGGAGAACCGTGCATAGTGGGAGGTGCATCGCCAGCTCTGTCCTGTAGGAAGCTCATTTGGGCGGGAGTGGACAGTCTGCTCACGGTGTCCTCAGACCAGTCTTCCAGGAGAGCCAAGGCTGGGGATGACGAGACCGCAAATGCCAGGCTACATCAGCCCACTGCTGGCTCCTCGTCCTGTGGTTTCTCCGGCTTGGGGCCTTGAGGCCGAAAGTGGAGTGTGGGGAGTTGTTTGGCAGAGCGAGGTGTCCGGGGAGGAGAGTCAGACTGCGTGCTGGGGGTTGCGGCTCATGCCCCTCCCTGTGTGTCCATGCTCAGGGCCTCCGGGGGTGTCGCCCAGGTGAGGACAGACAGTGAGTGTGGCCACGTGGCTCCTCAGCCTACCGGGGCACATGAGGGTATGCTTCTGTCTCTACCACCGTGTGATCTTTGCACCGTGGACACTTGGCAGTTCCTGTAAAATGAAGAAGAAAACTCGGTTGGGGGAAAGTGTGAGGCTCCAGGTAGCTTGCATTTGTCCAGTAAGTAGGCTTTTCTGTAGCATGGGAGCTCGCCCGCTTGAGGTATTTGGTGATGCCATCGATGTTCATGTCTGCCATGGAAAGACTCGTGCCACCTACCTAGTGCCCAGTTCTGTGGGTTGTGTCAATCCCTAGATTGTGATGAACATTGCTGCCAAGTTTGCCTAATCTTTCATTCTTCTGATCTTTTAAAGAATCAGAATGTACGGGTGAACCTGAAGATACTCCACAGACTTACGATGGGCCTTTGTTCCCAGTTGAAGGCAAGGCGTCTTACTGTAACTTGGAGTTGGCAGGCACTCTTGCTCACTGTTCCCCAAGAACACCTCTCACTCACATCCATGCTCACAGCATCTTTGAGTGAATTCTCAGGCCAAGTGAACTTGTGCATCACTCATAGAAGGATAGTCCACATGATAAGACCTGAAGTTTTAAGGCAGTGGTGGACGTAGGCTAACAATTGTAGCGTTTTTAAAAGCTACCAATTCATTTGGAACTTTTTTTTTTTAAGATTTTATTTATTTATTAGAAATGGAGAGCATGAGTAGGGGGAGGGGTAGAGGGAGAAAAAAATCTCTAGCAGACTCCCCACTATGTGGGCAGAGCCCGATGCGGGGCTCGATCCAAGGACCCTGAGATCATGACCTGAGCCAAAGTCAGATGCTTAACTGAGCCTCCCAGGCGCTCCTCAGTTGGAATATTTCTAATGCTACAGTTAACATAAAAGCTGAGTATTCATTTTAGTTTAATAGTGAGATAGACACAGCTCCACTCAGTCTCGTTGGGAAGCAGAGGGCATTTGCAGGAACAGTCAAGAAGAGTTGGAGGAAGGGACTGTGTGTGGAGGTGAGCCCAGGAGTGGGGGGGCCAGCAAAGGATGGAGAAGCCTCCAGAGACAGGTACTAGCTGGAAGTGTTTCAACCGCTGGGCTTGGAGGGGAAGCTGTCACCAGGACCCAGGGAAAGCCGAGACCCTGCAGGGGCTGCTGGTCAGGAGCCGGGCACCAGGTGCTGTGGTTGCAGGCCCAGGACTGTGGGCTGCTGGGAAGAGTCTAGTGGGAGAGAGGAAGCCCATTTCTCTACCCTATTACCCCACATGGGCAAAACCAGCCTGAGAGCTGAGGAGAAGCCAGGTGGTGGCCTGGAGCACATCAGCCCTTCCCCGAGGGCAAAGTGCAGGGCACAGGGCCGGGAGGAGGGGCTGGCGAGGCTGAGGGCTTCAGATGGCAGCAGGAAGGGACACACATGACAGAAGCCCTGAGAATAGGCATGAAGACGGTCTGAATAAATGCAGAGACGTCTCCTACTCCTGGAGGAGGTGACCTCATATAAAGATTTCACCTCTCCCCACACTAATCTATAAAGCCATTGCAAAAACCAATGAAAATTCTAGCTACACTTTTGGGAATTCAGTATACCTATTCAGAAGTTAAAATGGAAGGCTACAAGTCTAAAAATACCTACATCACACTTAAAAATGAAAAAGATTAGGGCGCCTGGGTGGCTCAGTCGGTGAAGCATCTGCCTTCGGCTCAGGTCCTGATCTCGGGGTCCTGGGATTGGGTCTGTGTCAGGCTCCTTGCTCAGTGGGGAGTCTGCTTCTCCCCCTGCCTGCCACTCCCCCTGCTCATGCTCTCTCTCTGTCAAATAAATAAATAAAATCTTTTAAAAAATTGTTTTAAATGAGAAAGATTAAAGAGAATTGGGAGTGAGGGTTGGCCTACCTGGTATTTCTAAATATCTCTGTGAGGTCTTGGTAATGAAATAGAATACTTGAAGGAAATAGGAGTTTTACTAGGAAGGAGCTTGGCGGGAGGGCCGCTGTTGGGAGGAGCCACCACTCACTTGGGAGTTGCCCGAAATTCCACCTCAATGCAATCAAGTAGGCTGTTCAGCCGTGTGCAGGTAGAAGTAATTTAAAAGTAACATTGGTATCATTTTTTCCTACAAAACAGGTTTATGGTTTATGGCAACTATTTTGTACTTTGGAGCTTCCTCTGATACCAGTTTTGGCAGGTAAGCTACCATAAAGATGATGGACAAGTCCTGTTTCTAGGGAATTCTTGACATTGTTTGAGGGCAACTGTTTCTTACTTAGGGGTAGGCAGTGTGTCATGTGAGCACTGAGAGGTAGCAAGCCCTTTATTTTCCCTCTGTAACAAGAGGGGTTGGATAGCATCACCTGTTGATCTAGAAGGATGAGAATGTTCTGACCTCTCAGTCACATGGGATCCCTCTTGCACCGCGTGGTCCTGCCAGGCACCCTGGCCGAGTGGCAGCCCCAGCTCCTGAGGGCCGCAGTGCGGGTCGAGCCTGTGTTGTGTTCTGCATGGCAGTTGTTCATCCTGGTGGTGTGCTGTCCGTCAGCCCCCCCTCCGCTGGTCGGGACAGCCCCTAGAACAAGGGGTGCCAGGCCCTCCTCTGCCTTTGCCTCGCAGCGCCCCCCTCTGCCCGGGTCCTGCTGGGCACTAGGGGAGCTGAGCCTGGCCCAGCGCTCCGCAGCCTGCCTGGCCCAAGGCGACTCTGTCCCGTGTGCCAGGGTGCGTCCCCACGCCCCCCACTGCCACTGCTGGGCTCCCGCACTGACCCTCGTGGACCGTTGGTGGAGGTGGGACGCGGCAGGCACTGTCCTTGTCCTCGTCAGGAAGGGAGGCTCGCTCCCCGTCCTTGAGGCTTTCACAGAAATGACTCACTGTTTGGTGTTTGACTGACAGTGATGGAGCGCCACAGCATTCAGGTGAACAGAGAAGAGATGGAGAGGACTTCAGCCCTTCTGGGGGTACGTTCTTATTTCAGAGCTGGGGTGCCTGTAAGTCCTTCCTCCCTTCCTCCTCCCTTCCTCACTCACGCCACACTGACCCCGATGCCTCCTGTCTCTGATGCGTGCTGGGGAGCACCAGACCCACCCTGGGTGCTCACTCCATGGTCCACGGGGTTTCATGGATCCTCTGGCTTCTCAAGAGTCAGGTTCATTTCACAGGTACACCCCCTGTAGTTTGGTGAGGGGAATTCATGGCTTTCTTGGGTTCTTTGAAAAAACAAGAACAGGGCCCCTGGGTGGCTCAGTCGGTGAAGCCTCTGCCTTTGGCTCAGGTCATGATCCCGGGATCCTGGGATGGAGCCCCGCATCGGGCTCCCTGCTCAGTGGGGAGCCTGCTTCTCCCTCTCCCACTGCCTGCTGCTTCCCCGGCTCCTGCACTCTTTCTCTCTCTCAAATAAATAAAATCTTCTAAAAAAGCAAGAACAAAACTTTCTGTCAAAAATAAAAAATACAGAGGGTGCATAGAGATGCATGAAAAATGCATTAAAATGTTTCACATAAGTTATTTTAAAGGAAACTCTGGTATAACCACCACCTAGGTCATAGTGTAGAATTTCCAGAAGCCCTGTGTGCCCTTTCCCTATCAGAACCCCTTCCCGCTGCCAAAAGTAACCTCCGCCCTGATTTCTGGAGTCACTACGTTGTTGCTTTTACTTTCCTTTGCAGTTTTCCACCTCAGTGCCTAAATGATCTGTTTGGCTTTACTTTGGAACTGTGAGTTAGTGGTCGTCTGACCACTCTCCCTCCAATCCGAGTCTCAGCTCCACCCGTGTCCCGTGTCGCTCGGTGCTTAGTCTTCCCGTCACGCCCCGTGTCCCACTGTTGATAGCATTTAGGGTGTGGCCAGCTTGCGGCCCTTACGAACCACACTGCTCCTTTGGGCATGTTTCCTGGCCCCACTGGTGCACGCTTCCCTGGGCACAGGACAGTCTCCTCAGCTTTAGTAAGAAGTTGCACTGCCAGAAACACACCCGGGGAGGGTCCTGCCATGGCACGTCCTCACCTGCATGAGGACACCAGGCTTTTAGGAGCAGCCATTCTGGTGGGGACGTAATGGTATCTCGTTACGATTTTGGTTTCTATTTTCCTGCCTACTAATGAGATGGAATAGCTTTTTATATCATCATTGGCTATTAGGAGTTTCTCTTTGGTAAAAGATCTCTTCAGGTTTCTTACCCATGTTTATATGGAGGGCTCTATCTTTCCCTTACTAATTTAGAGGACATCTTGATATAATCCAGTTACAAGCTTGTTACATATACCGTCTCCCTCTCTGTGTTACCTTTTCACTCTCCTAATAGTATCTTTTGACAAATAGAAGTTCTTAATTTTTAATGTAGCGTAATTTACCAATCTTTGTCTTTATGGTTAGTGCTTTTTGTATGCTGTTTAAGAAAGCTTTCCTACGTCACGTTCATGAAGTTTGCTCATGTATTATGTTTAAAAGCTATTTTTATTAGCCTTTGCATTTAGGTTTATAATCCATCTGATTTTTTCTTTTCATGTACTGCTTTAATTGAGAAAGAAATTGCATACAGTGAATAATACAAATAATTTTAATTATTGTGATAAAGTACATTTAATATAAAACTTACTATCTTAACCATTTCTGATTAGACGGTACAGTGGTATTAAATACATTCTCATGGTTGTACAGCTATGATCACCATCCATCCCCAGAACTGTAAAACTGAAACTCTGTGCCCCTTAAACAGTCACTTCCTGCTCTCCCCTCCCCCCACTGCTGGCAGCCACAGCTATGCTTTCTGTCTCTATGATCTGACTGCTCTAGGTACCTCATGTAAGTCGAATCACACAGAATTTATCTTTTTGTCACTGGCTCATTTCACTTAGCGTAATGTCTTCAACATTCATCCTTGTTGTAGCATGTTGCAGAATTTTCTTCCTTTTCGAGGTTGAATGTATGTACCACATTTTACTTACCATTCATCTGCTAGTGGATGTAAGCAGCTTGGGTTGCTTCCATGTTCCAGCCATTGTGAGTAACACTGCTATAAAAATGGGTGTACAAATATCTCTTTGAGGCCCTGCTTTCAATTCTTTTGAGTATATGCCCCAAGGTGAATTGCTAGATCTTATGGTAATTTTTAATTTTTTGAGGAACTACTGTACTTTTTCTACAGTGTCTACCATTTTGCACTCCCACTAACAGTGCGTAAGTGCACTTTCTCCACATCCTCAGCAATACCTGTTGTTTTCTGAGTTTTTTGTTTTGTTTGTTTTTTGGTTTTTTTTTTTTAAAGATTTTATTTATTTTATTTATTTGAGAGAGAGAATGAGATAGAAAGCATGAGAGGGGGGAGGGTCAGAGAGAGAGGCAGACTCCCTGCTGAGCAGGGAGCCCAATGTGGGACTCGATCCCAGGACTCCAGGATCATGACCTGAGCCGAAGGCAGTCGCTTAACCAACTGAGCCACCCAGGCGCCCCTGTTTTGTTTGTTTTTATAATAGCCATCCCAATGGGTGTGAGCTGGTATCTCACTGTGAGTTTGCT